AAGGCTTTCCCTGAAACAGCCGCTGCAGGTCTTCTGCTGCCCTATCTTCTTCCACATAGAGCGGCCAAGACCTTGTTCTGACTTCTAAACTCTGAGGGGCTCAGATGAGGAGGCCTGTATCTCTTTTCCTGAAGCCCTGAGATTACTACAGAAGGCAGGGAACACAGTTGAAGAAAAGAAAGGTAAGGTCAGAAAAGCAGGCAAAGAGGCCTCTGAATGGCTTCGGAGAGTTCAAACAGAACATTCTGAGCTGTCTTAAGGGCTAGGAAGAAGACAGAATGTCACTGCTACAATTATACAGAATAAGCATGCTGTTTTCTGTCTGTCTGTCCCTAACGTACTTTGTGATCATTCACAAACAAACATGCACGTGGAGAACTTCACTGTGACTTAAATACTATCTCTTGTGCTTCCTTCCTCAGGGTATGACGCTCATCTGACTGTCTCCATCTTCCCAACATCTCAGGAGCAACTGAATTATGGATCCGCCTCTGTCGTGTGCTTCCTGAACAAATTCTACCCCAACGATTACAAAGTCCAGTGGAAGGTAGACAATGTTGTTAAAGAGGTTGACGTAGTGGAAAGTTATACAGAGCAGGACAGCACAGACAGCACCTGCAGCCTCAGCAGCACCCTGACGATGACAAGTGCAGAGAATAAAAGCAATAATGTCTATACCTGCGAGGCCACACATGACATCCTGAGCTCACCTGTGGTCAAGAGCTTCAACAAGCAAGAGTGTTAGGCCAAGAGTCCTGCCAGGCACCTCCACCTACCCTATAGTCCAAGGCTCACCCCTACTTCCTTAGACCCCAGGCCCTTTTTGCACCAGCGACACACCCCTACTGCAGTCCTCCAGCCCCTCTGCCCAACCGAACCTCCCTCCTTCCCTTAGCTTTAATCATGCTAATACTGGGGGGGGGAGAATTAATAAATAAAGTGAATCGTTGCACCTGTGGTTTCTCTCTCCTTCCTCATTTAATAGTTGTCATACATTGTTTTTCCAGTTACCCAGCTTCTCTTCTAAAGGACTAAATATTTAGTTGCCCTAAAATGCACCACCATTTATAAAAGTCATCCTCCATTCTATCCTCCCCTGCTGTCCTCTACAAGACACTCCTCCCTGAAACCCCCGAGGCCCAAACTTCCCACCTCCCACTCCCGCCATGGTGTGGAGACTTGCCTCCTGATTCCCCTCCTCAGCAAGCCCCACAGTTAAGGGTGACAGTTCTTACAGTCACATATGCTTTGATCCAATTCAACCTACCCTGGAAATTTACCAAAGCAAATCTTTCAAAAGAAAACACCTATAAAGAGAGTCATTGCTTGCAACATGTTATAAAATAACAAAACAATGAAAGTAACCTAAATGAACAAGCAATAGTGAAATACGTCCATCATGAAACTTAGACTTAAGGGAATAGTATGCCTTTATTACATATTCATATATGTACTGAGGGACTCCTATCTGCCAAGGACCATACTGAGCATTTTCTACAACCTAATTTAATTCTCACTAGAATGTGGGGTTAAAAATATTCATTAAAATGTTGGGCAAGTTCTAGAAAGCTGAAGATGTTCATTTTCTATAACCCAGCAATGCCATTTCTAGATGACTAAGCATCCCTGTCCATCAAAAAACACATGCAAGAATGTTCAGGGCAGCTTTATTCATAAAAGCCAAAAACTGGAAATAACCCAAATGTCCACAAAGGGTAGAAAAGGTCATTAAAATGTGGTCTGTTTACTCATTAGAATACTGTTCAATAAGGAGAATTAACAAACTACAACTAAGTAACATAAATAAATATCATAAACATGATGGTAAGCAAAGGAAACCAAGCACACAAGATACATTCTGTATGTTTTCATCCATAGAAAGTTCAAAACCAGGTAAAAAGAAATTTAAACATTGGGAGAGGGATTACTCTTGGCTATGGGTGGGGTGAAGAGGTGTCTGGGATGGGACAAGAAGAGGCTTCCGGAGTTTGGTAATGTCCTGTTCCTTAATGTGCGATGTGCCACTTTATGAAAATATTTTGAGTTATACCATTATGATCTGGGCACTTTTCTGTGTGTGCATATAGATATATTATAGTTCAAATTAAGTTCACATAGAGGAATGTCTTATACCCAGTTTATAGTTAAGAGAAACTGAGAGAATTAAGTATTAGGTCAAGGCCTCACAGCTGCTAAGTGGGGGGCCCAGGATCAAATCTCTACTTGCTTAACTCTGCTCTCCTGAGCCCTGTACTATTCTGCCTTCCAGAACTCAAGGTGCTGTACAGAACAGGTGGTCAGACACCCTGTTTTTCTAGTGTCTCCCCCTCCATTCTTCTAACTAGGAACACACAAATCCAGAAAAGGAGTGGAACAGATCTTCAGCAAGGGGAGAAAGGACAGAATTAACATTCAGAAACTGGATACCCATGTATCAAAGTTATATGTTTGGGAAGCGGGAGGGGCAAATATAAAACCAACTTTGGCTTTCCTGCCCTCTGTTGCATGGGCACCTGGCCCTGCCCCTCT